CCTTCCACTGCTGCAGCTGGCGCATGATGTGTCTACATTCTGACTGACACTTGAAGGGATGAACACTGTTAAATAGCAGCATCATTTAGTTACATATAAGTATGAGTACACAGCAGTCCACCAAATTCCTTAATAAGCTTAACAAACTATGGTTTTCCTGCCTTTTGCAGTCTAGTAAGAAAATGCAAAGTAGTTGGATAAAAATGTGAATTTAATCCAGTCTTTTTCCATTGTGTACATGACATGTACGACTGACAATCTAGAATTAATGCAATGTTGCTTTGAAAAGCTTGAATCAAACACAGTATTGAGGCAAAATGTGGCAACAGATTTAAAGATCATTTCCATTTATAAGATTATCACCATTAATAAACTAATATTATTTCCAGTCACAGTATCTTGGAACACCAAGTCATACAACAACCCTAGCAATGTTAATTTTTTTTAAATGTGACATTTCATCTAAGGCATTGTCATGATCAATACTACCAAAATATTTTCAGTAAGACAAAGATTTTACTAATATCCATACTAATGTCAATTGCCTTTAAGGGCACATTTGTGAAAATTGCCCCTCACATCCATTCACAAAAGCCTACACTAGATCAAGCAGCTTTCTATGACTGGAGGACAGCATTGTACACAACTCAAAACCATCCACACTGAACTATTGTTACAGTAGATTATTGCAGAAAATCTATAATATTATTTCACAATAATAAACTAATTTTTAAAAAACGTCTTAAATGCAAAATATTTGTATAATTCTAAATATACACACGCAAGCATAAATTTGTACTGAATGATTATCAGATGTTACTACTCAATCACTCTACTGTCCATATAACTTGGTAGGGTGGTTTTATATACAAACCAGTTCTTGGTTGCTTTTTCCTTCCTGTGAAGTGTTTAAAATTCAGCTAGACAGTAGCAATTTTCTTTTAATCTAAGCAAACTGATGTGTCAAAGACAATCAGTATACTGAAGCTATCCCCAGAGAATCCTAATAATCCTGATGAATAGCTCTGCTCTCTAGAAAACTCAGCCATTGAACTCTTGGCATTAAATGTCAAAAGTACTTAAGAGGAGATGGGTAGAGCAGCACAGGTCTCGTTCCCACAATCTGTTGAGTCCAACATGTTTCAGTTAAATATTATGCAGGGTTGCCACAGAATGCCCCGCCAGCCGTATCTCAGGAGTCGGTTTGGCGATTCTGGGCTGGGCTGAATATTTTCGCAGTGGAGAGTACAGAGAACTGGGCACAGTATCATTCTGTGCCAGGCCACTTCTTCCTCCTTTGCTACACAGGTAACACCAGAAGTATTGTGCCACATGGAAGAATGCTTTACACCTCTACCCTGTGCCAACATCACTTATCCTGAGACACAGCAGCCTAAACCCAATATAACCCCACTTTCATGTGCTAAAGTATCTTAATTGCAAGGAGGAGAGCTTTTCCAAGTATAGCACCCCAAATTTGGAAATTAATTCAATTGGCGGTCCGTTTGGTGCCCACACTTGGCCTTCAGGCACCGACTAAAGACATATTTGGTTCCATAGTTCTTTTAATTAGGTGAGTTTTTTATTTGTATTTATATTTTAATCATAATTTTTATCTTATAATGCACTGCTGCCAATATGTTTAAAGGCTAGATTTTGATATAATTAAATTTTAATGGTTTTTATCTTATTTTGGGAGGTTTCATCAATATATTCTATTTATTACTTTATTTTGGTTTTATTGAATTCTCATCATTTATTTTATTTTTATTGTACTTTTGTAATTGTGTATTGTCATGCTGTCTTTGTACAGTTTTATGTTGTCTATGGATTTTAATATGATGTAGGCTGCACAGAGTGTCTGTCACTAGTGGGGCAGCATATGAATTGACTAAATCAATAATACATACATACGTACATAAATGATTTACTTGCACGGCAAGGAAGGAAAAATGCTTGCAGTAGCCTCAATATTCTGAAGATAGAGAATGAGGGGCCCCTTAATGGAATCTGCACAAGTTCACATTTTTCCTACAAACTTCTGTGGGGTCTGATGGGTGTCAGGCCATCCCACATCAACAGTACATGTTCACAAAGCCATGCAGTTAGCTTCTGACTCAAACATGATTTGAAATGGCACAAGCACTTGAGCATGAACATTTTATTCCCTTTTTATTAAATTATAGTAGTCAAAAGTGTAAACCAACTGGGATTTTGAAGATCAGAGAACAGTTTACTGCAGATTCTCAGCCTTGATTTCTGGTATCATGGGGAAGTCACTGGCTTTAGCAGCTTGACAATATTAAATGATGTTTTCAGAACTTAATAGGACTCACAGAACTTTTTACTAAAGGTAATGAGTCAATTAGTATTCATGATTTATGATCTAACAAACAAGAAATTTCTTTTTCTTAAATAAGACACAGAGGGAAACAAAACAAAAAAAAATAGAAACCAATCTATCATTCTAAACAATAAGCTACACACCAAGTTATGTTTTCTCAACAGGCTTGTTATCCATGGTTGTTAATAGGTTGCAGGTGTTCTAAAGCAGCCTTTTCAACACTTTTAAATCCCAATTTCATCATATGTCAATATCCTAACCTGCATGTCTATTACATTACCAAAAAGAAAAAAAAAATCTTCACTGGTAATATTTCTGAAAAATTCTAAATACTGCAGAAGAAATTGCATAATGGTACCTCTATTCCCCAATGTATATTTAAATAAGACTCTTTTGATAGAAATAAAATATCAACTTAAGAAAAAATGCTCACCTTAAGTAACTCTTCGGGAGGTCCATGTGTTTTCTGTACAGGCAGGCAGTTGGGATCGCCTTACAGATGTATCAGTTGGGCTTCTCACACACAAGTCTACATCCTTTTGAAAAGAAACCAACTGGGGATGTTCCAAAGAACAGCATCCACAACACCAACACTGAAGGACCAGGCATCTTACTGCACAGCACTAGCAAGTACTAACATAAACATTTGCTAAGAAAAGATTGCAGGAGCCCAACAGCAATGCTTCCAAATAACATTTCTTAAATCAGCTCACCTGATGAGGAACGTCTGCATGGCTACAAAGGTGTCTCGGCACACTGCAGACCATGTTTCGGGAAACGATCAAGGATGCGCACAGGTCATGCACAATGCTGGCCAGAGTCATTAACCCTCGCTTTTATCCCCTCGGTACTAATTAAGTACTAAGGCCTGCTTAGTTGTGTTAGCAAATTATATGTGAAAAAGCAACTGTATCTGCCTCAAGTGGTTCTTAAATGGCGTTCACTGCAGAGTTTTCGACCTGAAATTGCTTCTGTTTAGCAAGACTCTTTGCACATCCACTTGTTGCCCTCTTGGGCTGAATTCTGGCAGCTAAAGCTTGTTTGCAGGCTGCCTTTACTGATCAATCAGAATATGTGAAACGCACAGTGTTCAAGTGCAAATATTATGACTTTTCCCAAGTCTATTTCCTTCTTTTAGTGGAAAATGGGAGACATTATTCTGTTGGTGTCATCTAACGGTGAACAAAAAATACTAGCTGCCCCCACACTTCTTTTCTTTGTGGGGTGGGGGAGAAATCATGAAAACTCAAGATGTTGTTTTTAACTACAGGATCTGAAATGCTTGATCTTTCTGCAAAGGTTTACAAAACCAAGAAGGGTGGAGGAGGAACCCATCCCTCTTTTTATTTAAGTATTTAATGGTTCGTCAGTCAAGCAGGAGGATGGTTTCTCTTTGCCACCACACTGTTCTGAGTCAAAATCAAATACGTTCTCCCTCCTTTTCCTTCCTGAATTTTCTACATATGCTGGTAGCAGCCACAAATTGCTGACTAGTAAAACAAATGCAAAATGGTAGGACACTGCCATGTGTGTGTGTGTGGGATAAATTTGCTAGCTCCACCCTCTTTCTCACCATACTCTTTTACAGGTCTGGCATAATTGTTTGCACAGGACAACCTCTTCCATTTGTGGACATTTTCCCTGAGACTTTAGAATACTGATTCTTGAAATGGAATTACCACCTTTAGTTAAGTGGTTATAATCCCATTAATCTTATAGGTAACCTTGCAAGAAAGCAGATTTGAATATACTGAGGCTAGAATTTCCATAACTGTAATTAGACATTTCTTTTTCCAAAACCAGGGAAATTCAATTATCAAAAAAACCTGCCTGTTTAACACCAGAGTGAAGACTATCTCATGTTAGGCCAAGCTCCAGAAAGCCAAGAAATTGGAAGCAAAGGCCCATGTCTTAACAGATATGCCCCACGATCAGTGATGATGAGCACTGTCACAGGTTGTCCTTGTTTGCAACTTGCTCCATGCATTCACACTTCTCATTAGGAACAAAGATGCCCCACGGCATCCTGGGTCTGTATTTAACTGTACACCTAGAAATGCACTCCCTGCCACTGTTTAACCCATCCTACCAGCTAAGTGAAGCAATAAATTAGCACAGGTTGTTTCACTACCACTCAGGCCTAAACAATTATAGCTTACTCAAGCCCCCCACTCCCCTAAAGATATCTAATGCCCATATGAAAAGGCAGGCATAATTATTTTTTAAAGAAACTTTAATAAATGCTTGGAGTACTTGTCAAGCTCTCCCCAACCACAGTGGAAAAGACATAAGAGGAGACAATCTAGTCCAGCACTGCCTTTCCAACCATATTTAGCTAAATGCATCTGGCAAATTCAAACACACATGATGGTATTGTTTTGTTTTCAAATTTCCCTAGTAGTTCTTAACACTGGATTTTCCTCTTGCAATAGTTACAGAGTTGGATTTTTCTCTGAGCTGTACCCCACAGTCCTAACAGGATCACAGTCCTCATCTCAGTGACTCTGCACAAGACTGCTGGGTGTCCGGAAAGGTGCTTTGGTGCTCCCATAGAAGCAGGAAGCTAAAGCCTCCTTGCCTTCCCAAGGCCCTGGCAGACCTTGTTGCTTCCAGAATGAGCAAGGAAAACAGAATGACAAACACAACTGACCAGTGATTAAGTTATAATAAACTTTTAATGCATACTTTTCACACAGTTCAGACATGAGAGAAAATGCATCCCCCAAATAAAAGGATCTATTCCTTCAAAATATATACAATCTCTGAAGGGACATTAAGTCACAAATACTTCAGCAGCAGTCAAATTGGATGCATATTTGAAATGTATATTTTTTGAGAAGTTTACTTCTTCTTTACTGACAAAGAATACTCCAAATGTTTAGATATGAAAATACTATAAAGCTAAAAAACCTCTTTGTATTTTTTTCAGTAAGTTAAGCAGGAAAAAGAATACATCACATTTGGTATTTCTGATACTAATTTTGAACTGTCTGTACAATGCTCCTGAAGGAAAAAAATAAATACATACATGGCACTTTTTGCATGCAAGGTTGACCTGCAGTTAAAGGCAGTGGCTGCAGACTTGCCCCAGTTTCTGACGTGCACTGTTCTCTTCTTCCGGTGGAACAGTCGGGACTGAACACAGGGGCTCACAGACTGCTCTTAATCTGCAGCTCCAGCAAGGCCACACTTGCCATATGACTCAATGGAGCAAACCACGGCTCTGTGGTGACAGCATCGTAAGGTCTGCTTGGCAAGTTTCAGAAACCCTGATTCAACAAGTGTTACAGCATAATTCGAGCTGCAATTGGCTTTGTATGCGAAATGCTGCGCATCTCAAAATAAAAACATCTAGCGTCATGGTGGAAATAATTCCTCGGACTGAGGAAAGATGGAAGAATAACATAGAAACATCATTTCCAAAACTGAAGTTACAATGCACTTTGAATTTATCCCATGAAGCAGTATCTCATGTCTCATACTCAGGATGACATTCAGGAAGAAGAAACATTGGATCCTTGTGAAAATCAATCCTACCTGAGGATTGCAGAATCAAGACTCTTTTCCAGCAACAACCCCCATCTTATTGATAGGTTGCTAAATTGCTTCTGCCACTCTGAACTGAACATCAGTAATCAGAGAAATTGTCTGACTTCATTATGCCATTGTATACCCATAGCTTCCACAGTGCAATGCCACAAGAAGCCTGTCCTTAAGGATTTCTTTCTGGGGATATTCAGGCAGCTTCAGCATGTTGATACTGAAAGGGGGGAAAGGCATCCACATTAAAACATGGGAGTAAAAGTGTGTTCCAAACAGGTTAATTCATGTGCCACCATGCTCTCAAGACTTCATTCTGATCCAAAAAGCTTAAAAATGAAGTATACTTGGAGAAAATGTGTTGCTGCATTGCAGTCCCCTTTAGTATTCTGATGTTCTCCAAGCGGGAGGACCTTTCTTTTAGTTTAAACTAAAAAAGCAATATAGCAATTTAACCTGAAGTGCCCTTTAGTGATACAGTATTAAAACTATACTACAGTAGCTGGAATTCTTTCTTCAACACTACAGAAGAAATAATTGAAGCACCCAAAGCCTGGGACTAGAGCAGGCCTCCTCACACTGGTGCCCATCAGATGTTTTAGACTATAGTTCCCACCATCACCAACCACTGGCTGGGAGTGATGAGAACTGTAGTCTGAAAGATTCAGAGGGGACCAAGTGGTACTAAATGAAGCAATTCAGCATTGGATAGTGGCAATGAGAGGGAGCAAAAGCATTTTTATGCAAAGGTGCACCGCCAGTCCTGAAGGACCCTTGCCCTTTCCCCAAAGAAAAACAATGAAAGGCTCAGTAATAAATTGAAAATGAGGCTGCTGGACCTACCACGTGCTTGATGTGGGTAGAAGATTTGGTGTATATGGCACTGCAGCAACTGTGAAATTTTGCAGTCCACTGCCACCCATGATATGAGCAAAGCCACCATGGGGTACCCTGGAACTGAAAGCATTCACAAGACAGACATTAAAGGAAGGGGTTACACATGTCGCTGAGGCAGTTGCTGTTCGACAGCTTTCATCCACATATACCAATTTCTGGTGCGTTACTGCTCTTTCAGCATTAGGAAAAAAACCCTAGAAATTTACACATGAACTCTAGAACAACTACTAAGTGTTTATACTATTGCTTCTACTTTGTAGAATTGGTCACTGACAAATTATGACTCCAAATTATGACAGTTTTGTTTGCCCCTTTATCAGTCTCGTGTTTTGAACTCAGTCTGCTCAAGTCGCAAAAGCAGAGAATAACCTTGGATAAGTCACTCTCTTGGCCTCAGTTCCTCTAACATGGAAATAATACCTTTTCACCGCATAATAGTGCAGTGAAAAAAATGGCCTGTAAGGTACTTTCAGCCCAAAGAAGTGTTTTGCTCATCACCTAAATTTCTCTTCCTGCAAGATACACAAAGTTCATTCAGGAGCAAACAGGGAAATTTAACTCTGTGTTTCAGGGTTAGAACAGCTGAAACACAGCTGAGGGGAAAACAGGCTGGCTGGGTAACTCAGTGAAGAGTGCTATTGTAGTGCCTGTAGCTCCAGAGGGGGGGGAATGAAGGAGCCGATGCTTGCTCATCAGCTGAAAACCAAAATCAGTGTAAAAGATACAAAGAAACATGCCATTGTGTTTATTAATGCAGTAAGGCTGGCTGCAAAATACAGGTGGTGATGGTTACTCCATGCAGAGGTTTGACCACCTTATTGATGAGACCTGGCTCAGCTGAAGTGTGAATGTAATAGACTCTTAAGTGGGACTATAACATACTCTTATTTGTGACTGGAACAGGTGCTTTGTACCAAAATGTTTCATAATATACATATGAAGATAAAATGTTTAAAATTTTATAATGTTAGCAAACTTTTAAATCTGTAAAATATTTTAATCAAATTTTAAGATTTTAATTTTTAAAAGCTTAAATCACTAACATATCTAAACTAGTAGTAATATGCTTTTTTTGGAATTACTACTCTGTAAAGAAATAGGTAGCAAAGTTTTATACTGTCCTCTACAATCAAGGAATGAAGTGGTGCGTTGAAATAACACACAAGTGAAGCAGCTATCTAGTGAGCCGCATCCAATACAAATGCTTTGTATGTAATACATATCAAGATTTTAAAGATTTTCAGTTTTCACATCTAAATGGGCTTTGAACCACAAAAAATAGCAATGATGCTAGGATGAAAATAAATCCATTTTCAATCCCATTTTGTGAATAGCTTGCAAAGTTAATATAGGAACATGCCATATATCAATACTTGATTTTGGTTTTGCTCAGTATGCAAAAATGTGGGTAGATATAAAGAACAGAGTAACATTAAAAAAGAGGCAGAAGGCATACTACATTTTCTGCCATGGAATCAACAGACAATATACTCTTTGTTACACATGACAAAACAAAACTTAAAAGGAAGAAAAGCTAAGATATGCTTAGATGACTTCTGCAAACTAACACCTATCATGGCTGTTTATTTTACTAGATCAATAAAATTAATTTGATGATGTCTAGCTGAAAAGGGAATATTTGATTTTCCACTCAAGTGGTACTAAACATTTGCTCATGTTTTAGAAGAAATGTATTATCCAAGTTCTGAAAACAGAGTGCCAAGGAAGTTAATACTAAATCCACGAAGAATCCCTCATTACACACAGACACACACACACATCGCTTTTAGAAAACTATTTAACTGGGTTATAGAAAGGCAAACTTATGAAATATGAATCATATGTTTTGTACACAAATGAAACTGAAGATATACAATTTACAAATAGGATTCAATCCTGATTTTAAATTACACTTGAAAAAAGAAGTCTAACTTCTACTTAGACAATTCTGGATCTGCCAGTTAATACTGGTGATGGCTTATAATATTTTTTATAGCTGTATTTATCAGTTCCCAGTCCCTGTCAGTGACTACATACCTATTTAAAAAGACATCTAGTAACACTTTACAACATGATCAGCACTGATCAGGTGTACCTTGCATATTTGAAACATAAAATATAACAAAGACTGTTTTTCATCTCTTAGTCCTAGTCTTTGAAAAGAACAATAAATAATGCATAAATAATGCATTTAGGACTGTCTGGCTCCAAGTGTCCAACAGGTATTTCATTTTATGTAGCTATAAGGTAGGGAACTGAACCAATAAAGAGAAGACATATAATAAAAACAATTCCATCCCTGTTTATCCAAAATGACAACGTCAACATGTACAAGGTCTGAATTTGTTGCTCTTAAATGCCCTCAAGTCGTCTCCAACAATGACCTTATGAATAAATACCTTCCAAACAGTCCTGACCTAAGCAGCCCTGTTCAACTCAGGTCTGATGGGAAAGCATGTAAATAACACGGCTTATAAAGAGCTACTGGACCTATATGCTACCTTGAAATCTTTATCACAAGCCAGGATGCCCAGGTGGCAACATTCAAATTGTTCATGCTAGAGCAATACATGTTTGCTGTATCATAAATATGGTGCGGTGAGAAAACCTCAGCTCATGTGCAGAGCGCAGCCTGCAGCTACACAGTGCAGCTGGTTTACTTTAACTAAGCAGTGCTCAGGAATGGAAGGCTGTCTGGCAAGTCAGGCAAGCTGTCTTGGGTTCTATCCACAACAGCAGTAAGGCAGGATAAAAATGTACATGTCAAGAAATCCCCACCCCACCCCACCCCTTTGCAGGGTGGTTAAGATTTGGCAGAGCTGAAGGAAAATCCATTTCATGAGGAAGGGCCTGCATATTTAAGACACCTCCATGTTATCCCATGTTGTTCTAACCTGGATGATTTGCTAGATGAAACTGTCAACCAGGCTGTGCTGAAAGCTTTCTAAGGGCCAAGGAGGTTTATCCATCCTGCTACCAATTGGCCAAAGTAGCTTCTGAGGAAACTATTCTGCTGGACTGGCATTGGTTAAGGCAGTCCCTTCACATCTGTCAAAGACCTGCAGAAGTATAAAGCAAGTTATTGCTGGTCTTTGGTCTTCATCATGTTATCTGCTTATGCCAACTGACTTTGCGGCATGTGAAATTTTGGATCTCACTGGGCACTGACTTATTAGGAGATCCTTATTTAGTTAACATATGATAAGATTAGATATTGCACTGGTATCTTTGTCTGCAGAACTTTTCCAAGGGGTTTCTCTGGTTTCTTTTTCCACTTCTCATAATTCATACAATTAATGTCTACCTTTAGAGCTGTGTGTGCTTTCTTTGTGATAAAACCTCCATACTAATTCTGATTGGTCTTGCTACTGTTTGGTTTTGCTAATGATTAAAAGTCTTCCTGAAGCAAAGGAGGCAGCAGGAGTGGCCATCTGTGGCAGGCAGGCAAGTGGCACACAAAGAGCAGCAATGGAAAGCCGGATCGGCCAAATGGGGAGACAAAGAGAGAAAGGAGCAAGTGGAAGGAAGAGAAGGGGGTCTTTGTTCCCCTTCCCCGCAAATAGGAGAGCATGGCAGCAAGCAGTGGCTTTGGAGCAAGGAGTGTAGAGAAGTATAGCAGGAGCTTATGAATAAAGTTGGTTTGGAAGTTTAATAAGTAAAGACAGGGTTTTTTAAAAGGAGCAGCAGATGAAAAGTGTGAGCTACTTAGGAGAAGAGCAGCAGAGGTTCCATTCAGTGACACGACTGCATGTGCAGTCAAAAAGGAACTATGGGCTGAGCGGGAGCCCCACCCCCTTCTCTGGAGAACTGGAGGGGCAGGGAGATGTTCCTGTCCACTCTGGGATGCTTTGCTATATTTTTACTCTGATCCAGGCACTGCGCAGCAAGCCCATACATGTGATGCACAGAGAACCCAAAGAAGAACAGGGGGTGCGGATTTGGTCCATTATGTCTGCAGCCCTTGGAGGGTCCTGTGAGCGCTGAGAGTCATCAGGCTCAGGACAAGGGGGATGTAAACGGGTGGTAGCAGTCCACCTGGTAATTGTTTGCCCACTGCCAAGAGGAGCAAGGAGTTTGGACAACTCGCCCTTCCTTTGCTGTATTACAAGACTGCTTGCATCTTCTACTAATGATGTGGTGGTATTCAACTCTTCCTTCACAGGGCAATGTACATTCCTACAAATCTCCCTGCTTCCCCAGTGTTTTTATCTGGCTCCCACTAGCGATGGTATGGTATTTTAACCTACTTCCAGCTAGGAGCCACATGAGGAGAAGCTTGCCAGGAAGGTGTCTTGAGTCATGATTCCTGGTTCCCCATCACCACCACCACACACTCAGAATTTCCAGGGGAAATGGTCTTCTGCAGATCTCGGATCAGTCATGTTTCACAACAATTAGGTTCCTGGGAACTTGGATGCACACTAGACTAAAGTGCTTGTGTGTAGGAACATATTAACACAACACAAAGAAATAAAGCATAGAGCACAAAAAGGGGGGACTGATGGAGCAAAGACAGACAAGTGCTTTCTAAAAAAAAAGAGTATACAATGGTATTTAGATACAGGCTTGTCTGGCTGATAGCATAAGCCAGCCTTACATTCCTACAAAGCAGTCCTATCTACAGATGAACAGAATTTCCACAGGAATCTGACATTTTTCTATAGGAAGCCATGTAATTTTCAAAAGGGTCCTAGGGAAGGTGGGGTTCAGCTTCTAGAGTACTGGTCATATTGTACAGATAGAAATTTAGAATCAGCTAATGCTAACAAGATTGTTGCAGACAGATATGCTGGCAGTTCTTTTGAAGTTTGTCTTCACTTAATATTTTAAATTGGGTTTCCAGCTGTTTCCCTTAGATTACAGAGTCTAGACTTATGGACTTCAAAAATGTACTATGAGGAGCCCAAGATAAAGGTAGTGCAAGTGTTTTTGGCAAGGGACAGTCAATTGCAAGTGATTTTCAGACCAGAAGATAATAATTAAAGCTATGCATGTGATTCTACCAGCTTGCCCTTATGAATGCAGTACAATTTTTAAATGATTTTTTGACTGAAAGCAAATCCCAAAATAAACTACCTTCACCCTCTTAGACTGGATCACATACAGTAGGATATTGAAGTCTGGAAACGTTTCAAGGTATCCTGCCTGTCAAAATGAATTACCATTTGATGTTCAAGCTACTGTCACTTTTTCAGACTTTGCCAATTTATGTAGCAAAAGAAGATGCAAAGCTTTAAGGAGGAAAAAAGAAATCCATAAAGGATATTGCCATTGCATGGTCTGTTTAAAAACATGCCTGTGAATCAGATTTTAGATGCTACCACAGAAGGGAGGACCTATTTGAAGTCATTCCAGTTCACTGATGCAGTAAGCTGGTCCGTTCAACCCAAAGGATGGAGAATGTGGGCTTCAGAGAGCAACAAAAACCCTTCAGACGGGAGTCTACTGCTTGTCCGGGGCTGGAGAGTGAGCAGTGATATGGCTGGTGACGCTTTTGTTGTGTTGTGCTGTTCATACAGCAAAAGCTAAGATTCCACTTATTTGTCAGTTAGAGGACAGGCCAGTGGGTAGACTGTAGAGAGAACCTTGTCCATGAGGTCAGCTACAGGGCTATTAATTCAACCCTCCACCAGGACATAAGCTAATGTTTTTCTTCCCTTATCATTTGCCTCTTTGGTGTGAGTCATCACTAGCTGGTTGACAGGACCAGAAAAGCATTCTACTGCATTCTGACTGGCCATTTAATCCTCAGGCTTATGCTTTCCTCATAGGAAACATCCACTGGGTTCTTTTCCCACCTTTGAATATAATAATTTTGCAGCTTTCTTATCAGTATTCATCATAATTTGCTTTGATCTGGTGTGGAGACGCGGAGTAAGGAACAAAGGAAGGATCCAGTAATTCGCTGGTTCTATTACGATTGATGTTTTGCTAGTAGAAACCAACACTGTGCAATAGCTCTTGGTCACACACAAGAGCTTGCCATCAGATTCTTCTTATAACCAGGGAGGAAGCAGCAAGCAAACTTTATTCTCTCATGTCCCATCTTGCTACCAAGCAAATCACACTGCCACCCAAATCTAAATAAACTGTACATCAACAATGAGGCTCTAGAGCACCTTTTTTCTGTTGCTACAATAGTGCAACTATAATGTCATTTTATTGGGTAAGTTAGAAGTTCAACCGCCCCTCGCCCCCAGCAAAAAAGGCCATGTGATCCCAAAGTAATCCATGGAACAACAAATACTGATGATGGAAAAGATTCATCTACTTGACCAAGGATTAACAAGTGCTAAGTTAAAATAATAAGGGTAAAGCTGTTACCTCCAGAGGCAGCCCAACAATACTGATGCATATATAGGTAAATGATGTGGCACAATTTATATTATAGCCACCAGTATTCATTAAATAATTGCACTGAATTAAAGAGACAAATACCATACCCCCTTACACAAAACAAACAAACAAAATACTCACCTCCCAGTGACAAACTGAAGCAGCAACACTCGTTCTTCCTGAGTCAATTCTTCTACAACTTCCCAAAACCACTAGAAGGAAAATAAATCCAGTTGCATATTTTTTCTACTATATATCAACCAAAGAACAAAAACTGAACATGAATTCTAGCTTAGTTCAAGCAATTCTACTGTGCCTCATTCCTATGAGACAAAAGTACAGTGGTACCTTGGCCCACAAACTTAATCCATTCCAGGACTCTGGTCGTGATCCAAATTGGTCATGACCCAAGTCAAATGTCCCCATAAGGCTCAATGTAAATGAGGTTAATCCGTTTTGTAAATATTTTTTTAAAATCACATAAATTTGAAACAAAGTAACAAAGAACAACAAAGTAACAAAGTACAATACAGTAGAGAACAAAAACCTAGGTGTGGGGGAGGTTATTTTCTGGAGGGAGAGTCCAAACCATAATCGTGCCATAGCGATCATGCTGGGGGGGGGGGGGGCGGGACCAAAAGGGGGGGGGGGGAAAGGAGAGGAAAAGGGGTACGATCGTGGTCATCACCCAATGCTGAGTTCACGACTGAGGCTATTTTTCTCTGGAACTTCTGTCTGTGATCCAATTTGGTCATGAACTGAGGCATTCGTGAGATAAGGTACCACTGTACAAAAACAAGGATGCACATTTTTAAACCCAGAAGAAGCAAATCCCTAGAATGCTTAATTGCTCGCATCTATCCTATAAAACAGCCTTTTTGCCAACTCACTGTTTTGAACTACAACTTCCAGGATTTCTTTCCATTTGTTCTACTGTTTGAAGTTGATGCAAACCAAAGTCCAAAACATTTGAAAAGCACCAGGTGAGGGGAAGCTGCTGAAATGTATTACCTGAATAACTGGGTCATCTCTTTCATAACCACTTGTATATTCTGTATTTTTTATCCAGTCACTCACATCAATTTCTGGCATGCCAGAGAGCAGTAGTTCCTTCAAAACAGAAGACACCAAACCAAGATTGGGAAGATGACACATACAACATTCACAATTTTAATTTCAAAAGTGTTGGTGCTCCTCGAGTGTAATGTGCAAGCAGGATTCTTTGTTTTAAAAAAATCAATTTCAGAGCTATTCCATCAATTATTAGCAGGATCCAAAATATTAGGAACTGCAAACAGAAGTGGCACTTGCCAGTTGTTCAATACAGAAAATTCAGAGTCAACCAACTCTTCAATGTTTAGGGGGGAAAAAATGAGTCACATGGAATCTCCTAGCCTGCTGCCAAAATAACTAAGTGTAAAGCCTTCCTGAATTAATAGCCCCAAAATTTCTAAATCAGTTGCTTCTATACCATCTCCTTACAGAAATTAATGACTGTTGCATCATAATGAATTCTCCTGACGTAGTATGGCAAATTGTTTTACTTACCAATTCATATTCATCAAATAATTGTATCAGAGAAGGAGGAATGAACATATGGAAGCCTTGAAGAAAAGCATTTATCTGAGGCTGAATGGCTCTCGTCATCCGAAGCTCAGTAACAAGTTGGACATATTCCGCCTGAAAAAAATATATTGTTATAACACATTCTCTAATCCAGTTTGACCTGGTTTTAAATGCCTCATTCAGGATTTCAGTGATTTATTCGTTCATTGAAAAACCATTTCCAGTCAAACTGGGAGCCAAAAGCAAGAAATGCTGGAACCAAAGAAAGAAATAGTCTAGTATGAGGTACCCAAGGAAGCCTAAAATATTCTTTGAGGAAAATAAAATTTTATCAAGCCAATCTACTTAGTGTGGATGTATACAGGGTAATTTTCCTATAGATATTTATGTGAGTACACACTTATTAAGAATGGTGATGATATATGGCTATAATGCAATCATCCTAATACTGAAGGGAAGGTTCTTTCTATGACAGGGTAGAGAAATGGTGCCCACATATATGGAGCCCTTCAGATATTCTGGACTGCTATTCCCATAAGCCTCAGCTGGTATGGTCAATGGTGGGCTTTATGGAAACTGTAGTCCAAAACATCTGGAGGTCCCGGGGTTCCAATATTGGGAAGGGGCAGTATATGAGAGTGAGACAGAAAACATAAAGGAGATTGAGAGCCTATGCACACACACAGCCAGCTTATAAATAACACCAAAGTTGCAACTGAACACAAAGTGTTACTCAAGGGAAGAATGGAAAAAGTATTTAGTACTCTATATATGAAAATGTTCCCATAAATACAAAGAATACCCAAGGAAACTGAGACAAAGCTAATTTGTATCATTAGAAACAAAAGTTCTGAGACCCACTCATGCTAAACTGTAGTAGAGCTTGTTGTGATTCTTAGAGTATTCTCCGTCTCCCAGCTCTATTCTTCACATGTCTCTTGCACATATGGGTTTCCTTAATCCATAACTGAGGGCAATGCTTCATTTTAATTTTAATTAAAAGAAAACTGAATATGCATAGATAACTGTGGGATGAAAACTTAAAATAGAAAAGGTATTGAAAAGTGAGGAGCGGCTTCCCTCTGGAGCATGTGCTTCACAAAACAATCTCACTTCTCCAAGAGAAATAAATAAGCCTTGTAGAAATAAATGGCATGTGCAACACTGTAACAAAACCATCTCTGGGCGACTAACACTTTGGACTGGAGGATGTTTAAAATACTCATCTACATCAAGAGCGATTTCTTCTGGATAAAATGTTTGCATAAGTGACAGAAAAAGCTAGAACATTTTTCTCCAGCATGCTTTCAGACATGCAAGGTCATCATCATATCTTACTGATATGGTTATCATCTACCTGCAATCTGAATTAGTAGTCTCTAAATACTTTGTCACCTCCAGTTTGTACATAGCGTGTATCTAACACAATGAAAGAGACAGTCCAGGTCATGACAATCTGGATCAGCTACCATTTGCTCCATTTACTTAAAACTGCAATTGCAAATCGAGTCTATACAGCCCATACTACGTCAGCCAGTGGGTTACCAAACTCCTGGTAAAATATTTGCACTTACGTTGATTTTATATATAAATGAAAGTAAGCAGTTTCGTAAGCTAAACACTAACCTTAATATGTCTTTGCATTCATCACTCATTGTTGGAACATGATGCTTGTGGCATCTGCTTTTCAAGTTGTAAAAAACTGCCATACTATGATACCTGTTGGCTAGAAGCCACCACAATAAAGCCTTCTACCTCTGACCTTTCATGAAGGTTGATTTTATGCCCCTTGCAAGAAGCATATAACTGAAATGAGAGCGTGCCAGATTCTCTTGTGTACCAAGCAGAAATCTGTTCCTATAAGGAAATCATGTGGCTTTCCTGGCTATTCAGATACTGGATAAAACTGACATAGATTTGCATTAGTGCCAAACTTCTTCCTTCTTACCTACCTACCTCGAGGCGCACTGCAGATTACACAGCTGTGACCTCTTCAATTCCGGTTTTCTAGGGAAGAGAGATGATCCTTGACCAAGATTATTTTTGAAATCCTTCAATAATCTTATCAAAGTCATAATTTCCATGGGGCCTGATTGCAAAAAGAAATTCCCATACCAAAATGCCTTATTTAAATAAATTCTTATTATTTCTTGCCTCAGGACAATTGTCTCTGGGACTTGCTCTAGTTTTTAGTAGTAGTGTGCATAGGATTTTATTTTTTAAGTCTAAGAATTACCATTTTAACTCTAGAGCTTTTCCTCATTGTTTTATACCCAGTACTGCTTCTATTCCACATTCTCCCTTACCCAAACCTGCAGTCAACACTGGTACATAGAAACATAGAAACAGAGCAAGTCAGAAGGGGCCTCCCGGGCCATCTAGTCTAAACCCTGGCTCCAGCTGGCTCCGCTCATGACATACATGAAGGAGGTGAGAGAAACAAGTTTCTCAATGCTGCCTCAAAATCCTGCATTCAGGTCTAGCTTAACATGGGCAAACTGATCTCTTCTGCCTAATCAATTTGCAATGCTTTCATTCTATTTAAAACACTACCTTCCTGGCAAATACAGAACACTTGATTTTTACAAGCAATACACCAATTCAAGGAGCTTCACTGTGCTTTTAATTATTGACCCCTATGCTGAGTACCCCTTCTGCAAAACAGAGTGATTTTTGTTGGTATTTCCACAGTGCAAGCAATATGTGAAGAGGTTTAAGAAACAACACAAGCACAAAAAATTCTAGCAAAGAGCTACAAGTCCCAGTTTGCATTCAAAGTTTTGCTCATGATTGTGAAAAAGGTGGTAAACCCAGAACTTCGGAGTCCAAGACTGTATTCCATACCTGTTTACAGAAAAAATCAACAAACATGGCAATATAAACCAGTTCTAAATCCTGCCACCAATGAATTGAAGTATTATAATAATTCATATTTAATACACATATCTGAAACTCAAATAATCACCTTAGCAAAAAGGAAAACAAAGAACAAAACTCAAAATTACCTTCCAGAAAAGTCACTTTACTCCAACAGCTGTCAAAATAGTCTTGCTCTAGCTAAAATGCACAATAACTTTTTAGATCAAATTACCTGATGAATAAAAATTGTCTATTCATCAGTCTAACAGTATAATTACCAACCTGACCTTGAAAAGACATAGAAGGACAACTTTACAGATCACTTCTTAAGTACATTAAGATTATCTCCATGTAGGGAAAAACCCTCTACACCAACACTTGTGGAAAATAAATTCATCCCACTTTACAAGTGCTAAGGGCTAGACGTTTTTAATGTATAATAAGGCCCTTTTATTTTAGAGAAGCAGATGTCCATCCGATGCACAGCTAACCTCCACAGTCCAGATGTGCCCACAAGTCATCCTATACTGGTCCCTTGCCTGTAGCTGTCCTTCCATACTGTAGACAAGGACAGTTATAAGACAGTGCAATGTTCATGGGGGAGTCATAATTTCAAGCTGCATAAAAATAAAAACCTGTCAGGCTTTGTTTCACATGCTACCTTTCTCGCTTGGAATACAAAATGAATAACAAAGTAGAGAAGCTGGGTTTTTTATTATTACTATTATTTCATTTAGACACACCTTTCAGGTCCTGCAAGTTATTCAAGCATTTAGTGGCATCAGAACTGGATATGTGCCATTCTGTGCCAACGGAATGTCCGTGTCCCCTGACCGAATCCTCTTGGTATGCAACAGACATGTACTTCAGTAAAAAGTACTAAAGGAAACCTAATACATTGCAACGTCTTCACTGGAATTCTAAATAATGAATTATGCTGTGCATTTTCTACACCTTTCTTAAAATCCTGTGTTCAAGCATTATGTGTTCCAGGTCTTTATCTCCAAGTCACAGCAAGCAGCAGGAGGAGGAGGAACTGATTCATCCAACTGGGGAAGAGCAGTAGACCCAAACCTAGGTTCTTTAAACCTGGACAGTTAGCAATGAGCCCAGAGTCAAAGAACAGAATAATCAAATGTACCTTCTTATGGAAATATGTGCACATTTTGAAAACCACCAGCCACCATCTAGTTAACTTTATGAAGCTGTCTGAGGGTGGAGAGAACAATAGGACAGAGGAACCAGCACGTCAGAGCTCTGAACAGGGAAAGAAAGAGGAGGCACAGCTCTAAATAAGGAGACAGGAGGGCACAAGTAGTTTGACAAGGCCTACCTGGAATGGTGATATACATGTAAATACAAATAACTTGACCCATGTAGCCATGATTAAACCTGATTGGCACTAGCAGGGTGAAGGAAATAAAGAAGTAAAAGAACTGAAATGTAGCTATTACCTATTCTAAAGAAAAGAGACTAAAAAAGCACTTTCCCTTCAATGTCTGCTGTCATTTCAGAGTTTGCTGTTTCAAGATTATGGATCATTATACACCCTTTACTCTTTGTTAGGCAGGGGTGGGAAATCTATTTTAGGCTAAAGGACAGAGTGCTTCCCTGGAGCAAGCCAGCCAGCTGGATGTTAGTCTCAATGCCCTTCCTTCTCCAGTGATCACATGCAGCTTCACCTTTCTCATTCTTCCTTTGTCTGAATGGGGAATGGAATTCAGACTGTGCTTGTGGGAGCTGGTGCTGCTTTGCATTTGAACTGCAGCATGCTCAGTGCACAAGGGACTAGGACATGGGTCCTCAAACTACGGCCTGGGGATCGGATCCGGCCCACCTCAGAGGTTTTCAACGTGCTGCTAGCACGCCTGCACACCATGCACGCACCACACGTGCCCACCGCCGCCCACCTCGCCCCCAGCACGGGGAGGCAGCAGCTTGCTCATGAGGAGATTGTTTTGGACTCTCTTGGAGAAAACAGTCTTCAAGCGAGCAAGCCACTGCATAGCGACGCATGCCTGCCCCCGCCCTGCCTTGCTTCGCCTCCCCTCGCAACGCATGCCCCGCAGTGCCCTGCCCCCACACCCACGCTGGCCCGCACGCCCCACCAGCACCACCTTTCCGGCCCATGCCCAGCACCAGCACCTTTCAACTGGTTCCCTAGTTAAAAAATTTGAGAACCCCTGGACTAGGCAGACTTCTGGAGGATCAGTTCTCCTAAACAGCCAACCTAGTCAGATGCCTCCTTTACTGGC